ACTATTATCGAAGCTTCAAAATAGTGAAAGAAATACTTCGATTTTTTTAATTTATCAATGAATAATTTTCATTAATTAAAATATATCTTGTTTGAGAACAATTGATACATGATTTCATTTATTTTTTGATTTATTCTTCCTCAAGTATTTTATAGTTTACAGTAATGTAAACGAAATGTATCAATTATAATTAATACTGATTGAAGCTAGAAGAAAAACAAAAATAAATTTTTATGATCATAACCTCTACGATAATTTTCTTTGTAAATTATTTCAATCAGACATAGTGATATTGGATTTATTTCTAAAACAATTAGTTTTAATGTTGGTCGAGTTTGTAATTTCGAGTGAAATATTTTGTTGCTATACTAAGATTCATTTAATGACTAATATTCTTTTTATCACATATGTAATTAAACATGAATAAAGTCAATTTATTTTAATTTTAAACCATGTAGAATAGGATAGATATGACACATACACCACTAATAGTTTTTTTAAAAGAGACAGATCAAACAGAAATCCAATCTAAAATACATAACATGTGTATATGATTTCTAAAGGCATATTTAATATTAGATTGCGAACTTTTGTTGATTATCATTGTTCAGTCAACAATGTAGTAGATTTAATTAAACGACGTCGAAATTACTGATGCTTGAATATAATCTGAAGTTGTCGAAAAAAGCGAAAACGGAGTTCATGATTTGGTGATGGTAATGTTTGATTTCGATAGTTCACTGTCATCGGGCATCTCTATCGAAAATCTCCATTAGATAAATCATCGCTTTTGTACCTCCATATGTCGTTTACATAGATGAAATAGTTAAAATGAAATAAAATAGAGGCTGAGTAATAATGTTTGTTATATGATAATAAAGAATACAAGAAATAGATATCATACATGCTATACAACCAACAGTTGTGTGAAAATATGGAATGGGGTTTGAAAGTGTTGTGTTAACTTGAAGGTGTAGCTTTATAATGAGTAAAACACTCAGATTCTCAAAATGGCGAACAAAGGATGGATCTGATACCCATGTCCACCTCATATATTCATCGATACTCTCGCGAGAAGTTTTTCGTTGTTTTAAATATTATAAATAGCACCTCTACACATTTCTTTAACTAGTCTTATCTATCTCGATGAGGACATTTTTTTTCTTTATTTCTCATCATTCTTCATTTCGTCTTGATAATAATAGAACATGGCTAAAGCATCATCAATACAACATGACTATGCACGGTGTGTTGCTGATGATATTTTGCAATCATTAAATCTTAAAACAGAAAACAATTTACATGAATATGTTGTGCTCATTGTAAGTATTCATGATAATCATTATTTATTTGAAAATCTTCCAAAAATCATTAGTAAAGATCATGTGCATGCATTTAATGACGTTGAAACAAGCCTGGAGTTTATTCATAATCTGCACGATAAAAACATCTTCATAATTATTTCGGGTACATTGGGAAAAGATTATGCTCATGAATTGGTCGCTGAAAGTCAAGTTGTCGGTGTTTATATTTATTGTATGAATGAAATTAGACATACAACATGGACAAAAACAATTGAAAAGATTCGATGTATTGTTTCTGATGCAACACAATTACTTATTCGGCTTCATAGTGACATCAAACAATTAAGTGGACGATGGCCTTTCAATGAAAAATCCTTTCGTAAAACTTTGACACATACTTCTCAATGGTATCATTTATTTCTACTTGTTATCTGTAATCGATCTGAAAACATGGAGAATTCTTATCGTGAAATGTTCGATTATTGTCGTGTCTATTATCAAAATAATTGTCGTACAGTTGAAAAAATCGATGAACTCGAACAAAGATATAACGCTGATAATGCAATCCATGAATATACTCGTGATAGTTTTCTTTATCGTATTGTCAATCATGCTTTACGTACACAAGATATGGAAATTATTACAAAATTTAGTCCTTTTATACGAGATTTACATTCTCGATTATATCATCATCATCAGATATATTATCACTTACCAGAGCAATCGATTCGAGTCGTGTATCGTGGACAAAGTTTAAGTCTAGATGAACTTGAATATCTTAGGTCGATTTGTAGATCGAAAAAACCTGTCATTACATTGACCACTTTTTCATCTACATCACTTGATCCTACAGTTGCCTTGAACTTTGCATTTTGTGCCAATGATCGAATTTCTTGTTTATTTGAAATTATTATTACTGATGAATACAATATCGAACAGAAGCATACGATTGGTCATAGTCAAGTATTCGCAAATATATCTTTATTATCTGCTATGAAACATGAACAAGAAGTACTCTTTTCTCTTGTTACACATTTTCGTATCAAACATGTGGAATATCCAGTCGATCGATATTCTCGTTCTTGGGCATTGGTAACATTGGAACTTATCAAAGATAAAGAAGGAAAGTGTAGTCGTAATTATTTCAATATTGTCAATGCAATCGAAAAAGAAACAGATCCACAAGTTTATGCTGATATTTTATATTTATTAAAAGAAAATGCTAAAGATGAAATACATTTTAATAGTATGAACTGGGATAAATGGTGGAATTGCTTATCAAGAAAATGGGGAACTGATGAAGCACGTGATGCACCATTACTTCTAACATTGTACAGTTGTTTCACCGTCAATCCCTACTGGTCGAGAAAAGCTATTGAAATGCATAAACTCATTCTACGCACCCATCCTGATATTCAATCAAATCTTTCATCTTTTTCTTATTTATTTGAAAAGTTTAGAGGTCTTCAGAGTATGCCGACAAAATGGTTAGCTTTATATGAAGACTATTTAGAAAGATTTTGTACAACAAATACAGAAGAAGTAGTTCAATGTCTTTATTTTGCTGGACAAACTTATGAGATGATTACGGACAAGGAACATGCATTGGAATGTTATCAAAGAGCTTTGAATATGAATGTCAATCACAACCATAACATAAATAATATGGTACAGAAACGAATAAATATATTGAAAAAACCGTGCAAAATAATTGCAATGATAAATGATCCATGCACAACAATGGTACAAGATATTGATAAAGATTTTTTACAAACGCATGAACTACAAGAAGAACAATGGTCATGTTACTGGGCTATCAAACGTGACAAAATCGGTAAAGTGTCTATACGAAAACGTTTAGACAAACTCTTAATCTATCTTCAAAATCGTCAACAATGGTATGATTCGGTTGATGCAAAAATTCTTCTTTGTATAGCAAGCAATCGTACCGATGGATTATCAGTAAATGATTATCGATTTTATTCTTTATTTGCTGTAGAAAAATATTTGTCATTGAGCTATTCAACAGAAGATGGAACAGACAGTTATTTTTATTCTCTCTGGCATTATAAAAAATATATACGTGAATGGATTCGATTCCATGCATTAGAGAACTTTTTAAAGCCACTTCAAAAGAAATCAAAATATGTTCTCGACATGATTCTTCTTCAATTGCATCAATTGATAAAAAAACTTAACGTGCTCATCACTCTATGTACTGTTTATATGTACTATAAATCCGATGACAATGAAATTAATATGACCAATATTTCATTTGTCGATTACTCAGATACAATCATAAGACAACTGGTATTTTTTGACCTTCGTGATACTGACTTAGCAGCTGATCTCGAAACACTCACAGAAGAAAGTTCACTGACTAAGCCATTCAACATCATTAATGAAGATGATTTGAAATATTCGAGTAGAACTGATACGGCAATCTCTGACTTCTACGACGCACAATAAAAATGTTATATGGATTTTCAGTTAACATCAAAATCTTTTTTCTACTCATAAAGGACCTAAATAAGTGATTATTTTTCTTTAATGATGTCATTTAATCAAGCTTTTTGTGACTCATCTTTTGTATTTGTTGTATCACCTGAACAAAAAATGAAATTATTTATTCAAATAAATTAGTCAGTCAATATATAATATAGATATCTAACTTGTATTGACATTTCTGAAGTTCATGAAATATTTTTTCTTCCGAAGTATCTTTCGTCATTTTGCGAGTTCATACTTCTGCATCAAATGAATATACTATTTTTCTTGTTCTGTTCTTTGTTTATCTCAAATTAGATTCTTGCACAACGATCATGAAACTGAGTTGAGTAATTACAAATTTCGAAATTTCTTTTCTTTTCTTATAAAACGTGTCTCACTACTTCTCCACTGATTATTATTTTTTTTTCTTGTTCGACATTTAAAAGGCGCTGTGAATTATGACAGAAGAAAGAACAGTACCATCAATTTCAACTCCTCATTTTCGTTTCTTCGATCTTATGCATGAAACGGATGATAAGCTACCACTACTTAACGACTACCAACAGCCGATACAACGCTCACTCAAAGAAGCAATCGCTTACATACAACAACATAAAACATTACACATCGATCATCACATACAAAACAAAGTTTCTTTGGCTAGAAAAAAATGTTCGGAAGGAGATGATATTAATAATCTTACTGTAGATGAAAGTGCAGCGATTCAACTCTATACAATGGAATCAGAAACAGAACGAGAAAGTCTTTTTTACATACTAAACTGTTTACTTCGTTTAACGGATCGTAACGAATTAGAACCAGTCTTACCCTATTTCAAACTTCTAACTGGAGCCTTAGAAAAATTACCAACATTGAATGGTGTCGTCTATCGTGGTGTGAATGGAAATATTTCAAGTAACTTTGTAAAAGGTAAAAAACTCACTTGGTGGGGTTTTAGTTCTTGTACACAGTCATTGGAAGTGTTGCAAAAAGAGGAATTTCTTGGAAATAGTGGTCAAAGAACACTTTTCTACATTGAATGTATTAATGGAAAATCAATCGAAAATTATTCATATTCTTCGTCGGATGAGAAAGAAGTTCTTCTTCCACCTGGTACTGAATTTTTGATCACCGGAAAAAAACGAGCAAATCGTGGTTTAGCTATTGTTCATCTGAAAGAGATTTGAGCAGATGATCTTACATCGTATGTTACTGAAATTATTGATATTCCTAAAATAGTAGTATCAAAGGAAGTCGACTTTAGAGACGAAGCAGTAGAAAAGATATGTGGACACCACTGCAATCTATGGAAAACAAAACGATGTTGCCACTGTTCGGGTATGTATTTATGCCGGTAAGATTTCTCAAGTATAAGTCTATTGTTTCTTGTTCTTTAGATAAGCGAGCGCATAAAGTTATTGGCTTATACGAGAAATA